CAAGCACCGCGCCGCAAAATTCGGCCGCAATGTTCGCGCCGCAAAATTCGCGCCGCAATCTTCGGCCGCAAAGTTCGCGCCGCAAAATTCGCGCCGCAAAGTTCGCAGCCGCAAAATTCGCGCCGCAAAGTTCGCGCCGCAAAAGTACGCGCCGCAAAGTTCGCGGCACCCCGTATTTTGCTTCCGTCTAGCCGTTTTTCCACGTTGATGCAAATTTAGTTTTCTGACTACTTTTCAAAAAGTTAAAGGACACATCTCACTCACTCTCTCTCTCTCTCTCTCTCTCTCTCTCTCTCTCTCGCTCTCTCTTTCTCTCTCTTTCTCTCTCTAGCTCCCCCTCTAGCTCTCTCCCTCTTTCCCTCTATCTTTGTCTCTAGCTCTCTCTATCCATAGCTCCCCCACTCTCACTCTCACTCGCTCTCTGTCTCTCTCTTTCTCTCTCTTTCTTTATCTTTCTCTCTCTTTCTCACCCTCATTTTCGATCGGAAAATAATACGTTTTAGTATTCCTTGGCTTGGATAATTTCTCCTCAACGATGGTGCTTTCTATGAACGGCGCCTTTTATGGATTTTCTAAAACAAATCATGAAAAACAGGATTTCAAGGTAAGAATAATTACGATTTAACGATAACCATGATTAGACGGTGAGGAAGCGAGGATAAAATGGTGAGGACATGGATTAACGATCCCTGCTGCCGAGAAGGGAAGATACACGGACTAGCTATTTGAAAAAGGTAGTTTGTGGTGCTATTCGATCGTGAGCCAATCAATTCGAATTTCGGGTTTTCGAGGATTTAAAAAATCCTAAACTTTGTATGTAAATCTAGCGCTCCTGACTATCGCACTGTCCTGTAAAATTGCGTAAAAGTGAATAGATGGGATGGATTGGTATTCTTTTTTGCAACTTAAGCTCTTTAAAAGCAATCAAAATGGCAGAAAAAGCCTATCAAGGCACCTAATCGGGTATTGAAGAATTTGAAGTATAATTATCGCAAAAATAGAGCCGGAGTGGGTAGATTGGCCGGGCTACGGTTAACTTCACCCCCCCCCCCCGCAGCCGGGAAGGTTTCGGCTATAACTTTGTTATTTTACATTATGGTAGGCTCAAATTAAAAGTCGTAGTATATTTTTCGACGCTCTATCCAATGGTGTGGAAAAATCGATACAAAATGGGGGGGGGGGGGTGTAGTGCGGCTCTTACCATTAACTGAGCTCTCGCGACTCGCAAATTGCCTCAAAATTTACAGGGTGTCCCATAAAAAAGCACCCCTCTGGCATTTCGCCGTATTACATCCGATCGGTCCGAAATTTGGACCAGAGGTGTATCAGACCATAAATAACCACAATCCTGACTTATAGCCCGCCAGCTAGGGTAATCTTCGAGATACAACAAAAATAAACTTTATTATCCGTTTTTCATATGGTTTTCGTCGAAATCGACCCTTCGAATATTAAGTGAAAATGAAGCGGCAAGCCTGCTTTACCCCTAGAGATTTTTTTTTCTAATCAAAATTAGTGAAATAAACGTTGATTTCAACAATTTTTGTAACCGAAAGTCACCCCCGATATTAAGCGAAATTAGGGATTCGCAGCCGGAAGTCGATGCAAATCGATGCAAAGTCCAAAAAGATAGCCGAAAAAACTGTTAAGAACCGCGTAAAAAACAGTATTTTGACGATAACTCGAAAACTACTGTAGCGATCGGGCTATAACTCAGGATTGTGGTTATTTAGGGTCTGATACACCTCTAGTCCAATTTTGGAACTGTTGGGATGTAATACGGCGAAATGCCGGAGGGGTGCTTTTTTTTGGGACACCCTGTATATAAGGAAATTCAGGCATCTGATCAAAAATTCCACGCGACGGCCGACTGGAAAATGGATGAAATGGCCAAGAGAATGATGAGATTTCAAAAGATAGACGAGCCGGTGTACCAAATTTCGATAACAACGAACGATGGCGGACGATATTTCAACAATGGATGCTAAGTAGTTACTTCGCTACGCACCCTTAATGATACCGCGCTGGCAATGAGAAAAAGAAGGTGCAAGTGAAGAGGGTCGGCACGACCAAGGCTGAAATTACGCCAGCGGCGCGCAACGTCGTGAAGGGGTACAGTAAATGCGAAATGCTATGTAAAAAGGTCAGGCAGACCGTGAAAGCCGTACTGAAAGTGTGCGTAGCCTGCAAGAAAGTCAATGCCAGAGCTTTTCTACCAACCGAAACCGGACGATTGCCGGCAGAACGTGTCAAACGCTCAGCCCCATTTACGCACACGGCTATGGACATGGCCGGCCGGACCATTTTTGAAAATAATGAAGGATGGCACAGACAAATTAATCAAAGGCTGGATAACCATTTTCAACTGCCTGGCCAGCCGAAAGGCACTCCTTTGGCTAAACAGATTTATGGCCGGAAGAGTATGCCCGGAAAGCATCGTGTGCATCAACGGCACCACGTTCAATTTCGAACGAGCCGAAGAACAGCTAACCCCAAAACAAATGTTTCTATTTCAAGGATGATCAGAACGGCTAGTGGCCTTGTTCAAACAGGCACTAAAATCTGCAATTACGGATACCCCTGTCTCCAGGACAATATTTGAGACCATTTGCGTGGACGTAGAGCGAGTAGTCAACTGTCGCCCGTATGCCTATGTCAGCGAAACGGACGACAAAAGTGAAGTAATTCGTCCGATCGATTTCATCACGCTAAAGCTCAATTTTCCCCCAGATCAACAGCAACGGCATCAAGGAAGAATGGCACAAACCTATTCGGCCGTGCGTAAATATTTAGATGGCTTCCGGAAAACATGGACCAGGGGTTACCTAAATGTGAATTCCGCCTTTGAAAGCAGCATTCAGAACAAAAATCACTACAATCGGTGGAATCGCTCCGAGAAAAGGCTTGGTACCAACGGAGGTAGCATTTTGCCAAGGCTCGCCAAATAGGATGACGATCATCAGAAGAGCCTGAACGGTCTGAGGCAGTCACCAGAGGGTAACGATCATGATAAAGCTAAAGCTATGATCCTCTTAAATATCGAATCGCCGAAAAACCACGATCAAAAACGTGGTGACAAACGGAAGTCGATAAAGTTGAAGCACATCTGCCTTCCGCATTGTGAGGATCTATGATAACAAGAGGCACAAGAGCGGAAGAAATGTCTCTCCACAAGGTTTGTTGCGCAAATAGAAATTGTTTTTTGCGCAAAATTCTGTTTTTTTCCAAAATTCGAATTTTTCTTCCAAAATCCGAAATCCGGAAGTTCTATTTTCAGGGAAGCGGTTGTACTAGAGATAGGGGAAATATATTTTGTGAGTATGCGCAGTTACAACAATTTCTAGCAGTTGAAACGTGACATTCGCTCACAAGCACCACGCAAACATCAACGTTTTTGCATTTTTTTTGCATTTTCGAATGCCGCTTTGAAAAAAATTTTTCGGGGGCGGGGCCTCTTGGCGGAAATATGGTATATTTTGATCGGGATTTTAATTTTCGCAAAATTGTCTTTTGATTGCCTTGTGAAAAATAGGGCCCGACATTAAAAAAAACTTCTGTTTTCTATATTTATCAAAAATTATAATGATCTCATTTTCAGGACAGCAACAAAAAAAGAGGTTGGAGCTGGCCACTGGAAGGCGTGATGCAATCACTTCGGCTGCCTGAGAGAAATGACAGTGCACAGCCGCCACGCTCGCATCAGGTATTTCATTCCCTTATCCCAGGAGAATGACAATGCTTCTAGCGAGGAACATCAGGCAATGATTGACGGCTTTTATGCCAGCGATTCGATCTTTGTGTACCATTTTTCTTTGTATGCTAATTGGAATAAACGGACTTACCAGTTTTCAACTATATTTTTTAAGTCAGAATAAACGGGTTAAAAAATCAAAAAGGATAGACCTATCTATACCATCAGCAACAGTAACATTTCGGGTCGGATCTTATAAGGCGCCCGTTCTCTTTCTTGCTCTTTCTCTCGCGATCGCTCTCTCTCTCTCTCTCTCTCTCTCTCTCTCCTCTCTCCCACACTTCCTGCATCTAGTTACGTTGCCCAACCCCATCGCCCCCTTCAACTGCATATCACCCCAAGCGCGGCATTCCAAAAAAGCTTGGGCGTCGTTTGCCTAATTACCATTCCATTCTGTTCCAAGCAAACATTCAAAACATTTTTATCAAGCTTTGATTTAAATATGAAGAATTCTTGCACTCGTGCTTCCAACTTTTTTGAACGTTTTGCTAAAATTTTCATGGCTTTGCGAGCCCTAAAATTTTGTTATTTTCAGGACTCGTCTTCAACTTGTGCGTATTCTACCAAAAATGGAGGCCTTCGGAAAACGCCTCTACCGAACGTTTCAAATTCAATGAATTTGGGCTAAATCAAGACGAAATCACATACTTCGGTCTGAACCGAATTAAATAAAGGTCACGTGAGATCTGGCCGACCACGTCAATGCACTGATGTGCGACAAACTGAAGGTAGGAGTCGATCAGGAATATACAAATTTCCATAAAAGGAAAACCAGGAAAAGTTACTGTTTACATCGGGTTTCTACGCCAGTTGTTATTGATTATGACAAATTATTGCATGCTGAAGAAAACTTTGTTTCTATAATGTAGCCTGTTTTTATGCTTACGCCATGCCCCTATTTTTTGTGGATATCACCGGCTTTCCTCAAATGCAAAATTTCAGACCCGCAAAGAAAAACCGTAACGATTACGAGACAAAAATTCGTAGTAGATGGGTTGAAGATGAAGAGCGCATGATAGAATTTGAGCAACAACAACAGTTTTTTGAAGGTAGGGAATTTAATTTATCCTTTACCCTCCGACAAACCCTATTTGTGAAATTCTTTGTTAAACTGCCTCTCGAAAGCAAACCGTTTAAATTTCAAAAATTTAGGTGCTAACTACGGATGATTAAACCTGGAGAACATTGGAAATCAACGTGCAAAGCTCGGGAGCTTTTAGAGAAAAAGGCAGCGGAAACTCCGAAAAAAATGGATAAAGGTATGAAAAAAGCTTCGGCTTAATTATCCTCATTAACCGGATTCCAAAAAGGTTAGGCGTCGTTTGTTTAATTACCATTTCATTATGTTCAAGCAAATAGCAAAATATTTTTACCAAGCTTTAATTTACATAGCAAGAACTCTTGCACTTGTGCTTTGAGCATTTTAATGAGCTTCTGATCAAAATTTTCACGGTTTTGCGAACCCTAAAATAGTGCTCATTTCAGGACTCGTCCTCAAGTGCGTATTCTACCAAGATCGAGGCCTTCGAAAAAGGCCTCTATCGGAACGTTCAAATGAGATGAATTGGCGCTAAATCGAGACGAAACCACCTATTTTGGGTTGAACCGAATCAAAAAATGTGAATGGGAGATCAGACCGACCACGTCAACGCGCTGATGTGCGACAATTTAAAGGTAGGCATGCATCAAGTACACATAAAAATTCCATAAATGGGAAAACCGCAAAAAAAACGGTTCTGGTTCGTTAGCGGTGGAGGTTAATTTAATAGATATTCAATATTTCATTATTTTTTGGTGACTAACTTATCGCGGTCCGGTAGAGCATCAAACAATACACTAATAGTAAGGAATTTAATTCTAGATCAAAACACAAACCTTTAAGAAAGTTATGATCGCGAAAATGGGATTCGTAAACTGTTTTCCGGGATTTTCTATAATTTTCGACCTCCTGTTAATGCTATTCGCTGGAGCATCGATTAATATGTAAGAAAGCTTATATGCAGCACAAACTAATGTAATTTAGGATAAAAGAAGCTATTAAGAAAACCCCTTGCGTAAACTCCCCCCCGTTAACGCACCAGACACGAAAATACTTTTTACATTGGGTTTTTAAACCAGGTCAGTACTGCTTTGCCAAATCGGGAAGACTTTTCCTATCGTTTTGTAACTAGCAGCCGCGTTTTTATGATTTTAGAGGGTCTGATTTTACTTTAGTGAAGATGACCGGTTTTCTTGAAATACGAAATTTCAGATACGAAAGAAGAACCCTGTCGTGTATTTGGGTGAGTTCTGTAATAGATGAGACGAAGATGAAGAGCTCGTAGAATTGCTTCAGGTATAAAATTTTTTGAATCGATCCAATATCCCCTGAAGTGTGCTGATTTTTCAATTTTTATTCAAATTCAACGAACCAAGTGTATACTTTCGCTCCAAATTTCAGATGCTAACTGGGAAACATCCGCCTATAAAACGAGATCAGGTTGAATTTTCCTGGACGAGACGGATAAGCAAATCAAAGAAGAAGATGAAAAAGAAAATTAATGCGAAAATTAGAAGAAAATTTATGCAAGGTATGGGAAATTTCTTGATATTTATCGTCGTTTCACGAGTTCTATTTCTAATCAATTTTCGGTTTCACGGCTTCGTTAAATCTCAATTAAAGCTAAGCTATTTTAGATGTGAAAAGAAAAACATCGTCCCATATTATAACATCGCAATCGAGGTAAAACCGTGGGAGGATAATGGCATGATTGCGGTGGAATGCAAACTCATCAAAAAATGGATTTAGGTATGAAAAGCTTCAACTATCTATGATCGTTTCACGCGTGCTTTTCTCTATTCAATCTTGAGTTATACAGCTTTGTTAAAACTGTATAATAGCCACAATATTTTAGGTGCGAAAAGAAAAAGATCGTCACATACCTAGACGACATAGCGATCAAGTTAATGAAGAAGAAGAGCTCGAAGTTTGTGCCTGCCAAGCGAACTTGCATCTGCACTTGAAAAATTTGAAGAGCTGCCGCAGGCAAAATTCAGTAAAAACACCAAAAAAAATGGATGCAAGGTATGAAAAAGTTTCGATCAATCACACTTCTCGAAATCGCCAAAATAGTCTAATCTCCGGAATTTCAGGTATGAGAAGCACAGCGTCGGAAGGTAACTGGAGGACGTCATTATTGGCAAGAAACAAGGTTGGGAAACGGCAGAAAGACCAGGGCAGGGAAAAATCAAAAAATCGGAAAAGTATTTAAGAACTTGAATATTTCCGTAATTTTTGAGGGCGCTACCCTTAAATTAAAAACCTTCTAAAATCACCAAAACTATTTTAATTTACGGGATTTTAGGTAGAAGACAGGAAAAATCGGTATGTTCGGCGGACTCAGCGAGCCAGGCGTCGGAGCCCCAAGGGAGACGAGCCGCGAGTGAAAGGAGATGGCAATCCAGACAAACCCCAAAAACGCCGCATGGCAATTCACACCCCTTTTAAAGATGCTATAAACATTCTGGATATTCTATTCTAGAACTAATTGAAAATGCAAAGAATGGTAGCAGGTTGGTGAAAGTCCTTAGGACTCTAAGTTTATGGTCGAAGCTATGGGAGACGTGGTCGTACAGATATAACATTAATCGTTCGCTACCGCACACCATGCCCTTAGAGGAAATTCGGGCCTGGAGCAGACAAACAAATCATAGCGCTAACGATGATAGCTCCCGATAGACATACGAACTCTGCAGTCACTTAAAAAAATCAGGAATTTAGCTACCAGCGCTCCCACCACATAATTTCACGAAACGTTGAGATTTTACCGAACGTTAGTATATGATGATAAATAGATAAATTTATTAATGCGTTTTTATGGACCGGCGGGAAAGTCTAAAGAATAACGAACAAGACATAAAGGTCGACATCCACGAGGTATAATTTCGTTGTAGTATCATAAGATGCACATTCAGGGTGTCCCAAAAAAAATCCCCCCCCCCCCTAGCCGGCCGCAGACCTGTCCGATTTTTATGATTTAGGTATCTATCGAAAGCTCTCGGAAAGGCGAGTCCAGCACGTCTCTCCGATTCTTAAAATTTTGAAATTTTTCTATCGTTTACTAATGTTTTTCGCGAAACGCGCGGATTTTCTGATGTTTTTCTGACCAAGGTGTTTTTTTTACAAAAAATCGCAATTTAAGGATTTTTATGCCTTTCCTGGCAGCCGAACGACAGCTCTTTGAAAGCCGTTCGCGAAAACACAGCTTGGATAGCGCTTAAACCGGTTAAATTGCGTTTTGGTTAAAAAAGCGTGCCTTTTTGCACGAAAAATGCTGAAAAACGAGCAAAAAAATTCGAGATTTCGAAAATTGGCAAGACGTGCTGGACTCGCCTTTACGAGAGCTTTCGATAGGTACCTAAATCATAAAAATCGGACACGTCTGCGGCCGGCTAGGGGGGGGGGAATTTTTTTGGGACACCCTGTAGAATTTTTGTTAGGTTAGAGTAATGACTAGTTTTAGGATTATCATTTGAAAAAGCCTTCCAGAAAGCTTCTTCTCTCAATTTACGTCAGCTATTTTTCAAATTGGCGCGCCGTCAATATGTAGTCTGGAGGCCCCTCCTGGGGCTTTGGGCCATTGGGCCCTCGGCTCTAATGCTATCAACTAACTAAACTTCCGAGATATACAACAAGATACATGTGCTTTTTATCTTATATGCAATTATCAGCTCGCAATTCGATGCGATTTTTTAGATTTTTCGATAAAAATGATAAACTTGGCTTCTAACGTTTGAATCTTAAAAAATTTGATTGCTAATTAATGAACTTTTTAATCCACGTTTTAATTCGTTTTTTAATTCGTCAAAAACGCTTAAGGCAGATCTCATAAAAATATGCCGATTCGCTACTTTTCCGCTCTTCACTGGGACTTCTTCGTTATCCGATTTTTTTTCCTACGTCGTGTTGAGCCTTGAAGACCAAAACTTACTTTTAGATCCCAATCTCGGCTTGGTTAATTTTTCCAAGAAACGTTGCGCCTTCGTAAAATGGCACCTTTGGTTGGTACACCAAAACTCGAGAATTACAAAGCTTTCATTTATTTCCTGATGCTATTATCGTGCGATATCAGGTTCATGGAGGGCGAATTTAGGTAAATCTCCTTTCCGGAAACATCTATTTTTAAGTGTGCGGAAAAATTTATAAGCGAAACTTCAAGGAATCGATTAATAACACGGAAACCTGTAAACGGCTTTTTAAATGCTGAACGTCTAAAGGTATGCGAAATTGTCATTGGAGTGTATTTAAAAATATTTCAAAATAATTTTTTGGGGGAAATGGCGGGTTTCCTCAGACCATGGTGTCTCGGAAGCGGCCCACCGATCCAGAATATCGTTTTAGAATGGTTAATGGCTCTATGTTTCTTTTTTAAGAGCCACAGTCGCTGAAAAACAAGGAAAATAGCAATTTTTGAAGCGCTACGATTTTCCGTAACTACTTACAATTAGGATAATTGACGTCCATTTCGTAAAATCCGAATTAAACTTGCGAAATGATTAGTCTTTTCGATAAACTTACACGGAGACGTGTTTGAGGGTCGTCGGGACTTTGGGATGGTACCAAGTGTAGCTTGTGCAGAATTTTGTGCTCTCAGGCGGTATATCGTGATGGTAAAAGCCTTACCGATCCCATGCTTCGTGTAATAATACGAAAATTTCAGGATGATGAAAAATGCCGATCAACATGTTTGAGTACTTCTTTCGGCGCTATTCAAGCGCCGGCATGTTTCCAACAAGAAAACAACTATGTATGGTCGTCCGAAAGAATCACGCTGGAAGAATTCAAGAAAAGTAAAGATAATTAGAGAAGATAAAATTGAAGCAAGAAGAGGAAAATATTACATATGGGATCAAGTAAAGCATCGCTGATTCGAGAAGCTAAAATCGAGGGGATCCACGCCCATATAATTCTTAAGCTCCATTTTCAGGCACTTCAAACCACAACCGTATGTATACTTTTTGGATGGTTGGTGGCTGGAGTCTATTCAAGTCTTCAAGACAATGGGAAGTTCTGTCGCTGTAGATTCGGCGTATGACATCCAAATCAGGTACCACATAGTTCTAGAGATGTTACGCATAGCGACGCGACGTCGGGATACCATGCAAATCAGGATGCAAAGCACAAAAAATTGTTTTGGCTAGCTGGTTTTCGACTTTGCACCCTTATTTGCATGTTATCTCGACGTCGCGTCGGTATGCGTAACATCTCTAGTTCTAACAAGGGAACTTTCCGAATTGAAATTGCGAGTGATTAATGGGAGACCCCCACGTCCATACTAGTTTTTGACGTTGATTCCGTTTCCGCGAGCCGTTTAGTGATTTTTATGGCTAGAATCGCGATAATTTTTTACATAGGGCCTGTTATTTTGCAACGCAACGCAACGCAACGACTCCGCGTAGTTACAAAAAACTCCCCGGATCTCAAAAACTAAGGGACTGCGGCAAAAAGGCTTACAGATTCGGAAGTAGCGTAAAAAACCGTTCTAGACAAGTAATCTCCCATTAGTCGCTCGAACTTCCGCTTTGCAACCGTTCCCTTGTACGGATTTTGGACAAAAACTCCCCCAACCGGAACCTCGCCTTTTGCATTCGAAATTTCCTTAATGTCCGCTATATTTTGGATTTTAAATGTGATATATTTTCTCGGCTGCTTTGTTAAGCTGCCAATTTAAATCTATGGTTTTTCAGGGAAAAATCTGTGACTTCACATGTTTAAATACAATTCCCAATGATAATCAAACGTCAAATGGGGTGCTGCAAAAATAAATATCAGGTACTGTTCCGGAAGTTTGTTTTGCCAAGCTAAGTTAAGGCACGATTTGTTAAACTGGAATTTTTAGCTGAAGTCTCAATAAATTTCGTAATTTTAGGACGATAGCTTGAGATTTCGGGATGTACTTTCTCACCCGAATTATATCGGCAGCGTCCTGGAAAAGGAAAACGAATGGTATTCGCACCATAACCAATCCTTCGCCTCAGAATAATGCTTGTCCTATGGACGCACGTTAAGAAGTGCAGGTCCTGTGCCGCGAAGTAACGACGGTAATTGCAGAGCTCGAATTTTCAATAAGCGTAAAACTCAGTTTCTTCTAAATCCAACCGAGATATTTTTCATGGGGTTGGTTGTACTGTACTGCTTTATCGACATTTTAGAAATGCTAAGAATGAAAAAACCTGTACGAATATACGTTTCGAAGCTTGAGGGAAGATAAACAAGAGGTCTGTCAAGATCTGCTGGACTGGTACAAAAGAGAAACGAGGTACTACTTGTAACGATTTTCTTGTCCTATTTCGATAGTTTAATATTGATTTAATATTTTTTTATATTTCCTATAGGGTGTCCCAATAAAAAACACTCCCCTCTAACTCCACGCAGAATTATCGGATCGGATCGATAGCTACACCACTCGAGCCCTTGAAATGGCGGCTTTGCAAAAATGCTTAAAGCCATTTTTTTTTGTTCGCGGCATTTTACGACGAGTTCAAAACATTAAAAAACGGTATTCGCAGCTAACTAACGGCAATTTCCGGTGATTTTGCTTGGAGAAATTGAGGTAAAATAGCTCGTAGGCGGCCCGAAAAATCGCAAAATTTTACAAAATGGCTTGCAAAAGAGCGCATTTAAATCAAAACATGATGTTGAAATTTTTTGCAAACCCCCCTTTTCAAGGGCATTTTAATGGTGCAGGTACCATTCCGATCCGAAACTTCTGCGTCGAGTTGGACGGGGGTTGGTTTTCGTTAGGAACCTTGTAGTTTTAGCTGTTTTCTAGTTTTGTAGTTGAGTTCAGGATTTATTGGTGTTCATCTTTAGTTTTCATAAATCCAGATTTGTCAGGAAGATACCTCGAAACTCCTATCTTCGTCTCGACGAGCCAAAAATAAATATGAAAGAATTTGCAAGTTAACGAAGTTCCTAATGGATTTGATCTCGGATCAGGGAGGCCGAACTCTAGGTAAATAATGGTCTCCCATGCCTTAAGATTCAAATTTAGACGCTCTAAACTACAACAGCCCACGTACTTTTTGATGGTTGGTTTCCCCGCCTATTTACCCCTATGGAATTTTCGGCATGGAATTCTCTGCGGCACTTGTACAAGTAAATGTTCCGACCAAATGCTATGAACGATCACGGTTCTGTCAAGATCTGCTGGACTGGTACTTGAAGAAAATAAAGTTCCAACCGAGAGAGGTAAAAATTTTGCTTTCAGTAAAGTTGAATTCAAGATTATATTTTTTCACGGGCATTAATTCTGCTTTCGGGGTTCAATTTTACCGTATATGATAATTTCAGGCCCGATGGCAAGAAAACCACGCCGATTTTTCCTAGTGTGTCGTTCGCTCCTACGTCAGAAATGGCCTTCGAACTACACCGTTTAGCGCCCTCCTAGCTTCGCGTCGCTTCATCCGATGGAAAAAGTAAGGAAGAAATCTATTTCCCGTCCTCTCCGGCCTAGCTATTAAAATTCCCCATTTCTAGGTGATGTTGGCGGCTCTCAAATACAATATCAACAAAGATATAATACTTCCAATACATTGTCAACAAACATATAATACTTCCGAGCTATCGATTTACTGTGTGGCGAAGCTTCTAAAGTTTGAACAATTATTTCGTCCATGCCGTGGACCGTGAATGGTTTACATCATTAGCACAAACAGAATAAACTCTTCGTTGAAAATTGGACCCAGCGTATTGAATCTTACACAAGATATTATATTCAGGGGATGGGAACGGCCGGTAAGAGAGAGAGAGAGAGAGAGAGAGAGAGAGAGAGAGAGTGAGAAGGAGAAAAAGAGCGAGAGAGGGAGAAAGAGATATAGAGATAGACCGGAAGAAAAAGCGAGAGAGAGCGAGATAAGGAGAGGGAGATGCAAGAGAGAGAGAGAGAGAGAGAGAGAGAGAGAGAGAGAGAGAGAAAGAGAGAAAATAAGGTTTGAGACCGTCCAGGAATAGAGCTATGCGGAAATTCCCTGCAGTCATTCCGTATCTGCAGATTTTCCGTTTGTTACAAACACACCTAGAACCCGTCTTTAACATTAAATTACTGTAACGCATGACCAACACTGTGCATTGCTACGCAACGAAACGCTACCCAGCCTGTGCAATTTTTCGGCTCGCCCCGAGCCCTCAGGCTCAAATTTTTGGCGATTTATTGTTGGGACACCCTGTACATGCGCATAGCTTTGGCGCCAAGCGCCTGCTGCCCGAGGCCCCCTTGGATCGTAAAGAACGTCATTTTGCCGATATGGGTCAAAATAGCTTACCTGGCCCCGGGCCCGAGCACAACACAACCTTTATGGCCCACGGTCAAAGCCCTGCTGGCACGCGCGCCTCAACTTACTGCCGTTATATTCATTCCATATCGCCTCCCATTCTGACTGGACCCATTTTTTCATAAGCTCATGAAGTACCTCTAGGAATACCCTTAATTTATGTGTTGTAATACCAATATAACGCCCCTCGCTCTTTCTCTCTCTCTCTCTCTCTCTCTCTCTCTCTCTCTCTCTCTCGCTATCTCTTTCTATCTCTCTCGCGCTCTCGCTCTCTCACTCTCTCACTCTCTAGCACCCTCTCTGTCACTATCTCTCTCTCTTTCTCCCTCTCATTCCCTCGCTCTCTCTCACTTTCTCATTTTCACATTCTCATCTCTCTCTCTCTCTCTCTCTCTCTCTCTCTCTCTCCTCTCTACGATTCGTTTTCAGGTTCGGTTTTTCAGATCTACCTTGCGCCGGTCAGCCGAACACAGTATTTATTTAAGCTTATCGTTTATTTAATTTCTAATTTTTTAATTTATACATTTAAGTTCTGGTTCGTAAGGAGGGGGGGTTATCGGAAGAATTATATAATTGTCACTTGTTCCAGACAATTCCGGCAGCCATGGAGGACATGGCGAGGTCTACGAATGGAGGGGCCAAGACTGGAAACGACGCGCTCGCCGTGAAGCGTGTCGCGCTCGACGACGACACGTTGCATCGGCAGCGACAAATGAAGGGGCTATATGAGGAGGTGATTTTCGACGGCGAAATTCTAGTTTACCCCTTCCCCGGCCCCAACGTTTCAACCATCAGTCCTATTAATGCGCCGACCATCTCAAAATGTTCGCCTTCGGCCAAGTTGTTTTCTTAAAGGTACACTAAAATCTCGTTCAAAAAAGTTCGGTCGCGGTAGGAAATTTGAGCTCTCTGCCGCAGCCAACCCTAGCCCCTTCTTATCGCCTCTCCCCTTCCCCCTTCCCGTCTCTCCCTTGGCCTAGTGGTCCAAGGCGCTGCCCCAAGCTGGCAGTCAGGGTTCGGTTTTGCTCCGCCGCGAGCGCCTACCGTAACCCTGTTTGCTATCTCGCGGACGGTTACCGGCCGGTAACCAAACCAACGAGACTTTAGTGGACCTTTAAGCCAGAAATCGTCAAAAAATTTTTTATAACAATTATTGGTCTGGATTTCCTTGAGTTATTTTTTGCTGGACCAAAGTGAACATTTGTATCTCGGCTTTCTTTAGGCTTACAGTGCTGGCAAGGGTACCAAAATGTAGCCCTTACTCTGTAAAGTACGGCTAGGTTACATTTGAGTCGAAAACACTGGCGAAAAAGTGAAATATTCGAGTTTGAAACCCGTGGTAGATCGAGGCATAACGACTTAATCTTTTCGACTTTTAAAATCTTGTAAAAAATTTCTTAGCGATTTTTGGGGTCAGAAAACAGCTTGGCCGACGATATTCGACCATGGCGAACATATTGAAATACTCGGCGCATTAATAGGACATGTGGCTGAAAAGTTGGGGCTGGGGGGGCGGGCGGGTAAACTAGACCCTTACCTTTCCGACCATAAGCTAATACACCCGGATTCTAGTTAAAGATAGCGGATAATTTATTTTTTTAAGGATTGTGCTACATTGATCAGATGGACTCATACATAATAGCGATGTATGATGTGGCCGCGAAGGATTTATGCAATTACGAGTGTAAGCTATTAGAATTACATTAATATAGACTCCGCACTACAGATGGCTACGGTGGAATAGGCATGGATGAACTCGCATATTTACACCAGTAGATCTGCAAAGGGTTGAAGGCAATGAATAAGATAAACGTCGTACACTTGGACATGAAACCCGAGAACATATGATTCGACGGGCATCGCGGTAAGTAATAATATGGTAAATTACCTAACATAGGAGAAGTAATATACAGGGTGTCCCAAAAAAAACCCCTCGGCATTTGGCCGTCTTCTATCGCATCGGGATCAAATTTTTACCAGCGATGGGGACCCATAAAAGCTATGTGCAGCCGAATTTTCTAAGCGAAATCTGTAAAACAAAAGACTTATATCGAAACAAAGGTTTATTTTGCCGAGTTCACTAGGATTTTCACGGATTTGGGCCTCGAAATGTTTAGCAAAAATGAGGACGGCACGCTTTTCCACCCGCATAAATTTTTTGATTTACGAAAATTACGTTTAAGTTGGGCCTTTTTATCAATTTTTATTATCAAATTTGGCCGAAACCGACCCGAAAATTGCCATTTTTCGGAAAATTACTCAAAATTGGCATGCTAATTGTGAAAACATGGCCAAAAACGAGTACCAGCGTTTTCCAAAAATCAGTTTTTTAGCGAGAACTTTTTTGGTTTTACAATATTTTGCTTAGAAAATTTGCCTGTACATTACATAGTTTTTATGGGTCGCCATCGCTGCTAAAATTTGATCCCGATGCGATAGAAGACGGCCAAATGCCGAGGGGGGGGGGGGATTTGGGACACCCTGTAGCTTAGTAAGTATATTAATCCATCTTTTCAGGGACAGTGCTCATATGTGCTACCGGATAATGGATTATATGGTGGGCAGGGACCTATCTCACTATGAATGTTAGCTAAAAGAACCAAATTAATGTAATCTGCTCACTATAGACGGGTGGGGAGGAATGAACATGGACGAGATGACGCACATCTACAGGGAGCTCGCCAAAGGACTGCAAGCGATGCACAGGCAAATTCTAAGGAGAGAAGCCAATTCTACGAACTGAGGACCCCGTTTCTGGACCCTCAGGTAATTTTAGTTCTAATTCTCGTTTTGGTTATCAAAATTGACCAGGTAGTCACTGAGATTGTCAAATTGACCGGCATCAAGGGAATTAGGACATGCAACGCCGCGCGCTCAAAAAGTCGATTTCATCCCGAAAACTTTGGCTTTTCGCAAATAGATTGGGTTTCGGCAATGAAATCAACTTTCTGGTCTTGATCTATTCAGGGAAGTCCCGGTAATTTTTGACATTTGAGGATCGATCTCATACTCATATCGCTATCGTCGCTTTTCGTGAGTCATCGGCAAAACTTTACGAGCCTCAGCTCATTCGATAGAGAATTGAATTCTGCACAAGGTGCCGTTGTTCACTTTTGCGGAATAGCTGTCTCCGATTTTATAAAATTAAAAAATTCGTGGCCGTCCGCTACCATGAGTGCCTTTCGAGCGAAAAGTGACCCATTCGAGTGCAGCTATAAACGTTTATGAAATCGGGGATGGCCATTCTGCAAAAATGAACAACGGAGTCTTGTTCAGAATCGAATTATCTATCAAATGAGCTATCTCAGAAGATTTTGCAGATGACTCAAAAAAGCACTCCTTGTCAGGCCCTTTTGGTTCCTAGCCCCTTTAATACTTCGCTTTCCAGAAATGATCATCATCAACCTAATGGGCCCGGCCGCCTCAATTAGAAAAACCAGGATTCAATAAACTCGACGGAGAGCGTAACTTCTTTTCTTATCAGTGCCTTTAAAAAAACAATCAATGTTGAGAAACCGCTTCGCGGCTTTTCCGAACTAGCCCGCCCAGGACCTGTGAAAGGCTTCGATTTGCAAGATTCTTCCAGATTCTAGCAAGAAAGGCATTTAAAAAGCCCAACTTAATGAAATGTATCTTACTTTCAGGAAACTCGACACGAAGACGCCGTGTCTCAAAATCCCGCCTCGCGTCTACGACTCGGGCGCCTCAACATCGCCCCGCCTAAAAATATCCCAAAAAAAAGTCTTCCGTGCGGCAAGAGCTTGAAATATTGAAAAGTTTTGAATTTGACGTATATAGCACCATTTCTTGATAAATAAGGAATTTATTCAAAACATCCGAGCAAGTACCTAGATTTTCTCCAGGTTCAGAATTCCAGAAGGGTTGTAGCTTGAGTTTGTAGTATGTCACACAGACATGACGGTCTTGGTCCACTAATCATCCATATCGAGCCCTCCATCATCTGAAATAATGAGGATCCTCCTGGTATATACAGTGCGGGTCAAAATGATAGGTCCACCTGGTTTTTGCCCATTTTGAGGGGGTTACGGTCCGAATTTGGCTTATTGCGATACACCATATTGTAGCCCAAAAAATTCTGCATTTTTTGGCGTTTTGAACACAAAAAAATGTCCACAAAGGAATTTTTTAGAATGAAAAATTCAAAAATCGGCTAAAAACCGATGTGTCAAAATGATAGGTCCGCACTTTACATCCTATGCATGCATAAATTACTCATGCAAATGACAAATTCAACTGAAAAAAAGATTTATAGCAGAAGGCTGACGACGCATTAATACCTGTCACACCACAATAAACTACCATGCAATACAAGAGTAGGCAATACATGAAGATACAGACAATACGATACAATACGAGAATACAATACGATACAGTACAAATACAATACAATACAATACGATACAATACGAGAATACAATACGATACAGTACAAATACAATACAATACGAGACAATACGACAGATAACGATATTCTATTATCCAAAAATTAATAATCGATGCCCTCGCCGCCGCTCTTGATCAAGAGGTTGATGCGTTTAGGAAGAGTAGACGCCAGCTTTTTGAAGGTAGCGGCTGGGATGTTGCTCCATGCGCGCCGGACGGCGGTCTCCAAATCAGCGACGTTTGCGTATTGTTGACCATTTTTGTAGACGTCGCGCACCAGGATCCCCCAAATGTTCTCTATCGGGTTCAAGTCGGGCGAGCAGGCCGGCCAGTCCAGGGTCTTGATGTTGTGTTGATCCAGCCACTCCATAGTTTTTCTAAACACCTTTCAGCGGGACTCAGCGAAAACCTACTTTGCTTTATGGATAGATGCATTGTCTTGCATCAGAATGTATGTTTTGTTTGGATTGGAGTTGACGTAAGGCAGCAGATGGCGGTCGAGGATGTCGATGTAGTCGGCGGCGTTCATTTTGCAGCTACATATGGCCAGAGGAGTTGGGCCATCGGACGAGAAGCCAGCCCAGATCATCAACCGCCCGCCACCAAAATTACGGGTGCGATGAACGAGTGGCGGTTGTTGGGCATCGCGCCAGTACCTCGCCAATCCATCTGGACCATCCAAATTGAACTTCTTTTCGTCTGTCCAGATGGTGTCGTTCCACTCCGCGCTCCAGGTCATGTGCTCGTCGGCAAATTTTGCGCGGTGCTGGATGTGATGTGGCTTGAGGGCAGGTTCTTGTGCCATTTTTGTCCACTTCCAGATCTGGGCAGAAGAAATCGCCCGGTACACGGTACTGCGAGAAGTCGTGGGTGCCAGCTGCTTTTGAATTTGCCGCGATCCTTGTGTTGAGTTCGATGCCGCCTTCCGGATGGTGTCGACTTGCTGGGCGTTCAAGCTCTTCGGTCTGCCCGTGCTCTTCTTTGTAGCGTAGCCGTTCGGATTCTTCAGGAAACGGTTGACAACCTGAGAGCAATAAAATCGTTCACCTTTCCGCTTACGTTATGGCTGCGCCCGATCTTCTTGGCGATGATGCGCGCGGACAACCCGACATCGGTGTATGCTTGGATCTTGCCGATCTCCATTGCCGACAGCACCTTTCCACGTCCCATTTGTTCTTGAGGAGACGGATACGGGGAATGAGATAAGGCTCATCACTATCTTTCAGGTTGACTTTATTTATATTGAGAAATGCAATTTTGTGTTGTAAAATAGTATATTGTTATTATTTTGTAATATATATTTAAACAACTTCAACTAAAATATGGTTTTTTTTCAGTTGAATTTATCATTTGCATGAGTAATTTATGCATGCATAGGATGTAAAGTGCGGACCTATCATTTTGACACATCGGTTTTTAGCCGATTTTTGAATTTTTCATTCTAAAAAATTCCTTTGTGGACATTTTTTTGTGTTCAAAACGCCAAAAAATGCAGAATTTTTTGGGCTACAATATGGTGTATCGCAATAAGCCAAATTCGGACCGTAACCCCCTCAAAATGGGCAAAAACCAGGTGGACCTATCATTTTGACCCGCACTGTATAAAAAAGTTATGTCTATGTGTTTTCCTCCCAAGCCTAGATTTTTTACATAAATAGTGGAAGTGTTTTTAAATTGTTTATAGCTATTCCTAAACATAAAACTTTACAAAATTTAATAAAAAAATCTAATTTTAGGTCGAAAAATGAATTTTTTCCGCCCAAAAATGAGCAAATTTTCGACTTTTTCAAACGTTTTTCTAACTTTTTAAAAGTTTTTCCGATTCAACGAGGCTTAAATTTTAAACAATGTGAAAACACTTTATATTTGATTACTATCCCCACCAGGCCCGACAAAAACAAGTGAATTGACTTAGCGTTTTAGCTTAATCCATTGTTTTACAATTCAAATTTAATGGTTTGAAGTAATGATTTTCGATAGCTCAGTATGGGTAAAGGCTAGTCTAAAATCAGACAAAATTGAATCTACCGAAGATTTAACCTACCGTATTCCAGCTGGTTTGCAGTAATTTTGCCAAGGGTTTCAACACTAGTCTTGACGATCCCGGGATACTCGTGCTTGAAAAGCGCCCCATCGGGTAGGCTTTCTAATACCCCGGTGACGAAGCGATCTGGCTAAATAAGAATTTTTGAGCAATATTAAAATAGCTGAGAGAGAGAGAGAGAGAGAGAGAGAGAGAGAGATGATAAATGTTAACCCACCGCGCTCGCAAGGGTCCAGCTTGTACTCTTCCTGTCTTTTACTCTCATCAGGAAATATTCTAGTATTCCTGAGAAGATCTCCCGCTCCGGGTTATTCAGTTCATCCGGATGCGATTTGATTGGTGCCCAGTCAACCAAGAACTCTGGCATAATCTATAATTAGATTTCATGACTCTTCACGGTAGTTTCTCGAGAGCTACTTAACTTATCTTAGGTAGAGAGATCTAGCTACAGAACACATTTTTTTTTGATTAGACCACAGCAAAATTTAAGGCCCTAGCAAACGAAAATGTATCAGTAAGTGGATTTGTTTGAACACATTCCCTGCCACCCGCACATACCTGGCGCCACTCTTCTAGCTTCCGTAGGATTGCAGCGTATGCTTTCTCCTTGAATTCCCGGCTGACTCCATCATTGAGCAAATCGCCATCGAGGTGCTGTAGCATCAGCGTATGGAACGCGTTGTGCTGCAAATTTTGTCTGTGATATCGAATATATCGTCGAATTGCGTTGTTTGATAAATTTATTCACGCGATGCTAATCCATTTTAAACCCACTCGCCAAATTTCATAATATTATAGCTTTGCTTGGAGCAGAGCGGCCAAGTCTGATTTCAAATTATTTCAATTATTTGCTTTACAACCTATTACTAGTTGCATTACAATGATTACAATGCATGCCATAACATTTCACGATCGCCCTTTCGACCGAAAACCTACAAGTGTTTCTGGTGGCAGCATTCGATTTCCATTCGCGGCACGATTTTTCCCAGGATGCTTTTTAGCCGCTTGAACAGGTCTCGGCGTTTCGTATTGTCTTGAAGCAGTCCCACCTTGGAGTCGCGTCCCATTTCTTATCTGAAAAATTGATAAATAAGGTGAGTTAAGCAAGATATAAAGAAATTAAGAGAAAGAGAGCGAGGGAGGGAGAGTGAGTCTTACTTTTAGAGGTAAGATCGGTTCCGTTGTTGAGCGATCGGGGCATGTCTTATCTGTAAAAAGAGCATAAGATTTAGGCTCCGAATGCACAAGAAGCTTCCGATTAGTTGGAATCCTGAACCGGAATGATAAAGTGTTGAATCATGGGTTTTCCTTACCAGCTTATTGCCGGCAAATATGACGCAGCAAAGTCGGGGCGGGGCGCCGTTGATACAGTTGCTGCCAAAGCTGTTGCTCATATTGGAGCATGTCAAGATCCGCATTGATTCAGTGACCATAGGGATTCTGGATGGCGGCGATTTCCTTTTTGACAAGCGGACCTAGGAGTCCGGTTGGCGAGAGTAGTCACGTTGTTTACCTTTAGGTGGCTGAAGTAGTTTCGAGATGGCAAATACCGCGGAGTGACGCTTGCCAAAAAATTCTGTAAACGAAAATTTAGATGTTTACGGGTGCCGTTGTTGTGAACTGTTAAAGCGCTTACCTAGTGGGTCAAATTGGGTCCAAGTTGCTCGCGCTGCTTTCCAAAGCGTGCCAGCTGTCGTTTGTATGACGACTGTATAGAACGTTTCAGACTATTCAGAATTCCGGCGAAGCTTGCATCACTTCGTCGTCAACAGACAACGTGATGACTTCTGGATCAATTGCCTAAAAATAATCGTGAATTTTTGGGAGAGGAGCTTTTGGGCCATTCGATAGAGCGTCGAAAAATATACCAAGAAAATTAATTTCAGCCCGAATGAAGGTAATGGAATTTTTTTAGTGAATAAACAAAAATAAATCAAAATCTATGGGAACCCAAATTTTTAGATTTTCGCTATTTTGAAAACGCCAATCGATAGAACGTCACAAAATATACTTAGATATTTCTTAACAAAGCGAAAATGTTTTATAAAAGTTTTATAGCTTGAAAACTCGGGGAAAGACATAGGATAAAGGGGGGGGGGGCATATTTTGAAAATGCCTTTCGATAGATGGCCGAAAAATATACTAAGAGCTTTTTATAGCGCGAAAAACTATCTTTAAAAATATTTTTATGATAAAAAACTTTGAGTGCCCACCCCCAGATCTCGTTGTTAAAATCAACCATAGATACCTGGACATCCCATCTTTCTGCCGCGAAATTGATGAATGGAGAATGAGTCCATGCCATACATCTTCTTCAACATATTCACCTCCCTCGAAAAAACCCTGAAATATCGTATATATTTTTTTCTCGTCTTATCGGCCCAATTTTGCAAGGGAAGGCGCAAGCACTGCCCGACATTGCTTTTAAAATTAAAATTTCGAAAAATTATAAAAGAACCATAACTGCATTTGTTATCGACCTACAGATTGGTGATTTTGCAAGTGTAATGACGTACTTACGCCTACCTTTAAATCTTCTCAAATCCTCAGCACAAATTATATGACCCGGGTGGGTACATATCTTCCATTAAATCCGGTAAGGCATTGGAGAAATTGCCACAAGACCAAGCAAGCTGAAAAATACAAATACTGGAAAGAATCTAAATTAAACAAGTGGCTGGAAATTAATTGAGAAGCATAATCAAATACGATAAGGAAAGAGAGGGTGCGAGAGAGAGAAAGCGAGAAAGAGACAGCGAGAAAGAGGGAGAGAGAGAGAGAGAGAGAGAGAGAGAGAGAGACAGAGAGCGCGTGCAAGAGAGAAAGCATGCGAAAAAATACGGAACGAACGCATAATCTGATTACAACAGGATCAGGATTATTTATAAATAGCGCGATAATGAAATGCAGATAAAACTAATAGTAGATGGGAACGAGCAAAATATGAAAACATCAGTAAGCCAAGAAGATATAAGACTAAGGAAAGTCAGCAGGTAAACTGTCGAAGAATACTGAATCACTTTGAGCCTGAGGTCGATGCTTATGTAATGGCTGCCAGATGTACGCACACCACTGGCAGAAGTGGAGAACGTATCCGCGGGAGCTCTTATCAAAACATTAGTGTGTAATTGAGGTCGGACAGTCGGTAATCATAGCTTGATAGTGGTCATTAATGCGCATACGGCGGAAATCGGGCACTAATGACCTGATAAAAGTGCCCCGGGTCAACGACCACTTCTGCCAGGGGCGTCGATACATCTGCTAACCACTAGATAAGCAGCAGCTTGAGGTTCAAAGTCATTCAGTTTTTCGTCCACATTTTGCTTTTGCTTATTTAGGATTATGGTTGGCCGATCTTATTAACCTGGTTATATTTTCCTTAAGTACATAATTTCGCTTAAACCTCGCTTTAAACGAGTATAATTCCCGTTTTTCATAGCCATGTTGTGATTCGCATTTACGATTCTACTAAGTCGGCAAAGTTTGCATAATTGATTTTGCCAATTTCTATCAGAAATTTCGAATTTGTATGTCGTATATTAAAATATAGTATGTATTTCATTTGTAATTGGAAGTTAAAGTTTAATTCTCTCACCTCGTCTCTTTTCCCCCTTCTTTCTCGCCATTTCTCATCCCTCCCCCTCTCTCTCTCGCTCTCGCTCTCTCTCTCTCTCTCTCTCTCTCTCTCTCTCCATTTTTTGTCTTAGTGATCGTTCCTTTTTGTTTATTTCATAGATTATTTTTGATAATTCGAATTTTTTAGCGTGCGCGAACTTGTGGCAATTTCTCCAATGCCTTACCTGATTTAATGGAAGATATGTACCCTAAACAGGTCATATAATTTGTACCGCGGATTTGGGAAGAATTAAAGGTATGCTGAACAGCTTTATTGTAGCGACCTTAGCACTTTCGAAATTATGATAGGTTTATAAGAATTTATAAAACATAATGGATCGTGAATAATGTATTGGCAATTCGCGCCTGGGAGGTTTTTAAGTTTTTGAAAATTTCGAAGAGATAAGTATCGGTGTGGAAAATTCGTTCCTTTCCTTCGGATTCCTTTTGAAACATCTAGGCTCATATTTTAGAGGGAGAGTGCCGCAACCATCTCCTCTTACTCATCCTC